CTTTTCCTCTCTTTTCCTTCTTTTCCTCTTCTTGTCCTCCTGTTGTCCTCTTGTTCACCTTCTGCTGGTGTCCAACTTGGCCTCGCTGGTGAACCCCATGTCCACCCGTTGACTTCTTCTTGTCCTCTTCTTGTCCATCTGTTGCTGGCCCGTCTCCAGTCCTTGTCCGTTTGTTGTGTTTGTTTTCTCCTCCCCTTGCCCTCTCCTGGTCCTCTTCTCGTCCTCCTCTTGTCCTCCTTGTCGTGTTGTTTCTCTTCCCTTATCCTTTGTCCTCCGTTCTCCTCCTCAGTTTACCTCCTCGGTGGCCTCTCTGAGTCCTGCTGCTGTTTACGATGTTTACGTTGCTGGCTCCGAGGCAGGGGCGGCCTCGGAACAAAACACCCGTCTCCTCGGCAGGGGCTGCGGCTGCCCACCACAACAGTAATTCTTGCCGACAAAGCTGTTTGGGGTCTATCTAGGAGTGTACATCTGTTTGCAAAGCACGTCCCAAACACATGGCTGCGTGTGACCATGTTTTCAGAACACTTAATGATACCATGTGATACCATTTTGTTGGTACTTTCGCGCTCTTTCCTTGGTCACCCCCACTTGGCATGCCATGCAATGCTCACAGGTCACTGCAGATGTCCGCGCTGCCCAGCAGTTTGCCAGAGCGAATGGGCAGGTTGTGGTGAAGCCACGCGCTTCATCGGGCGGCGATGGGGTTTGGCTTTGTAATGACGACGATGACACTGGGCTTTGTCGGGCAGACGAAAGAACCTTTCGGAAAAGGGTTGGGGACGGCATAGACGTTTTCTTTGGAATTCACAATTGTACCTTTTTGGACTCGTCATGGTATTTCATGGTATTACACCCTCTGGCTGTTCTTTTTTGTCGATTCTGTAGCAAATGAGCGAGGGAGGGAGCGAGGGAGGGAGTGAGCGAGTGGGTGAGTGGATGAGTGGGTGAGTGGGTGAGTGACTGACTGGCTCACTCGCTAACTCACTGAGTGACTGTGACTGAGTGACTGTGACTGCGTGCGTGCGTGCGGGCGGGCGGGCGCGGGCGTGCGGGCGTACCAAGAAATCGATTTTTGACTAATATTGGTCTAAACCTGGCACAGATTTCGAGAATTCGGTCCTGATGGCGATGCCGTCTTCGCACTTGAGGACATTTTGACCGCCTTCCAGCAGGAGCTTCGTTTTGGCGAGACTGTACTGCATACGAACCGACTCTTCCGTTCGACAGCGGCGTTTGGGAGCGTCTGACAGCGTCGTTTGGGGTCGAGGAGCTGGGAAAAAGACACCAAGAGCTGCAAACCAATACGGAGCTCATTGTGGCGCAGGCCTTGATAGGCCGGAAGCTTCAGGTGGTCTGAATATCCACATCCTTCGAAAATTCAGGCATCTGGTTTTCGAGCTTTCTCGTTAAATTCAGGCACGTTTCTGAAGATGCTTGGCTTTGCCTGCATCTGAACTGGCACTTCAGGAGAGGAATGGGTGGTTAACACTGTGAGCCGGGATGGTGTGCATAAAGTCTCCGACGCATCCTGGCAACGAATTCATATGCCTCAACGACTTTTCATCATTACTGTTCAATGCCAACCCCTTTGAACATCTTTGAACCATTAAAACAGATCTAACAAAATTCTATCCTGATGTAAACAGATTAAACAGAAGGCGTTGTTTTATATGTTGTAAAATGTTGTTGCCACATGAAAACCGCGTCGCCGGCTTACTCGTACGGCCATCACATCGGGCCAAGCTATTCGAGGCGTGGTATGGTCCTCCCAAGCTCATCGCGGGCGCTGGCCCACAACATTTCCTTTACAACGTTCAATACTTGGCAGGGGAGTCGCCACGGTTCTTGGAGGCAAGGAAGCGACCGTTCGCTTTCACCGTCCAAACCGGTGAACGGAGCGTCCAAACCGGTGCTTCCTTTCCACCGTCCAAGAGCTTCAGCCCCTCGGAGAGCTCTGTGTTGACCACGTGCGAGCTGAGCTTCGCAGGTGACACAGATGGTGAAATCCTCATTGACAGCTCTGGGTTTGCAGGAGGGTGCTGCGCACACGGTGACTTGACGATGGAAACATGTTCTGAGCAGAGGCTTGCAGGGATGTCAGCTCAACAAAACTTGAAAGGACTCGGGGCTGGTTTTGTTCCTTTAGAGTGGATTCTAAGAGAAAACCATATGATCAGGTACTGACCTATGCACGGTAAACCTGGTGCTTCTGCGTCCGAGTGTGGGTTGGCCTCCCCGATGCAGGTCGTGGGAGAGAAGGTTGGAGAGAAGGATTCCCTTTTGTCGTTGTCATGTTCAGCAGCGTTCTGACGTTTGAAATATTAACAATGTTGCGAGTTTTTTTGCAGGATTTGAAACATTGTGACTCAATGGATTGGATTTTAGGCCGTGTCCTCAAATGTCAAAGGTAAGGCTTAATTTGAAATCCCTTGTATCGCAACGGCAAGGATTCCAGAGTGGGTGCTTGCCAGACTTGCAAAACACAGGGTAAATTGAATGCTCCCCAAGAAAGGGAGTTTATTGGTTAGCCATATTCATCGGTCTTTTTGAATGTACTTGCTGAACCAAGGAATTGGTGTGGCTTGACAAGCCCTACATCTACGAGGTGAATGCCCGTTGTTCTGGCGGCTTGCCGCGAGTTCCACCACCCACACAGTATCCTGGACGACAAAATAGAATTATATAACAGAATTGAGATTTCCAGTCACATGCAAGATCATGGGAGCATCTCCAAGTGAGGAGGCCCAACATCAATATGGCGGACTGGATGAAAGCCAAACCTGGTTGACGGCCCAACAGATTCTGTTGGTTGCGGTCACTGAGGTTGGATGTGCTGGCCATGAGCCTCTTTGCCGCCTGCCACCATGTTCGTGTGGAAAAGGGAGACACTGGCTGACTGATCCTGGGTGGCTTTTGACGTAGAGCCAAACATAGCCAAACTATATCGACTATATCTATGGAATCATGGCCTTCACGGTGGACGTTGAATTCCAAGGAGGATCACGCAATCATCTTTTTGAACATCAACTTATCAACTTCTTCAAAAGCGGATCAGTGATTGAAACCATACGGACGAACGGACGGGCAGACTCAGACAGGTCTGCAATGCGGCAGGGGCTGTCGTTTCTATGCGGTGCTGCCATTGGCAGAATGTTGTTGAACCAACGACACGCTTCTGCCAACCTCAAGTTGACACGCTGTCCTTGGCTGATCGTTGAACTTGACTTGATCCCAGGATCAGTCTGGCTTCTCCAAGCTCCCGGAAGTTCCTTCCAACGATATGACCAATCGAGTGGCCGTCGTGTTTCTCATCGGGCGAATCACCGGATGGCTAACAGCTGCTGCGCTCGAAAAGCTGTCCAGCTTGAAGACGCCTCTAGGTTTTAAACAGAGCAGAGTGAAGCAAAGCATTTGGTGTCAAAAGAAACACAGGTAGAACCTGTGCCGTTGCAAGACGACTCACGCCAAGAACCATCAGGCCCCAGGTCGTTACGACAGCTGCGTTCGTCTTTTGCCATGACCCTTGCCATCCCTCTGCCCCGTTCGCCCCGTTGTTGCAACATGCCCAGCATGTTGCAAATACGTCACTTATGGTCACACGGCCATTCACAGGGTCATCCACAGCCAGGTTTTGCACAGAATCATTTTGATCACCTGTCCAGGTTTTGGCGCTTCGAACGAGGGCTTGCCGGATGCGGTCCACCCTTTAAGATGGTGCCAGTCACTTCGGCACCATTATATGAACATATATAAGCATCGAGCAGCAGTTCTTGAGAACAAACCTCCCAATGCCAAGCAAGTACCTGAATAAGTCACACACTTCCAGCTTTTGCCACAAGCTAAACCCCTTTCTTTCGCAACAACCGAACGGATCCAGACTTCAAACGGTGCGTTGTTCCAACCGGGACACGTCTTGCGAAGCGAAAGCAACGGGTCCTTGTCTCGTTTCTTGCTGCGGGTCGTCCGTGCGACAGCGAAAGGTGACCAAAACCACGGGGCTCTTCTCCTCGCCTGGGGCTGTGGTGCTGCAAGGGGAGAGTGAGGATGTCCTTCAAGATGCTCAGACAATTCGAAAGGTGAGTGGGAAAAAGGGAGGAGTTCTTTCACGAAAAGAACCACAATGTCTTTTGGCCCAGTCAAGTCCTCTCAACTTGTTATTGTTGTTGTTCTTCTTCGTCTGCAGATGTGATTCTCTTTACAAATGTTCGGCAATTCGCCTCCAGCTCTTCCCCCCTCTCAGGTGGAAACTACCGCATATGTTGAGACCACGGAAGAGTCGCGCAAGTGCCCAGCTACCACGGAATCCTCGCCTGGTTGAGCACGGGCAGCACTCACGGACTCTTCTTTGGAGGCTGGCATTCAATTTCTTCGTGGTCCAAGCTGGGTTGGGCAAGTGGAGAAGCTGCTGAAAGCTTTCAGCACTGACAGCAAACCCTGCGAAGCCGATGGTGAGAACTGGCACAGGAGACTGAGCCGCCATCGTCAAACTGGTGTCGATCAGACTACGCTTGGTGGAGAGTTCGGCTTGTCCATTTTCCAAGATATGACCCGCCCGCAACAACGGACCTCAACACAGCTGATCTCGCAGCACAGGCGGCAGCCTCCACTCTTCTCATCCACGGAAGGAAGATCAAGGAAGCAGATCGGACAAAGCTACTAGTAGCGTCCCTGCTACTAGTAGCTTCTTGTTACTAGTAGTAATGAGGCGGCTACTAGTCGCTTCTTTGAAGCCTCCTCGGGAACCAGCGACCAGCTGCGGAGAACAAGTTGGGAAGAGCTACCATTCCTGCGCACTTCTTGCTGAGTTCACATAAGACATAAGCCACATTGAGCCACATTGATTGAGCGGCAACTGAACATCTTGAGGATTCAACGAATGTCATTGAGTGCGCTATCTAAAAAGCTACTAGGTTGGAGGCCATCGCTACTAGGTTGGAGGCCATTTTGCCTTCCTTCAAGTCGTCTCCTTCAGCTTTGACTTGGCAGATTTGGCTCAAGGCATGCGCCTGAAGGACTCAAAGCTTGGCACTGCGCTCATTGCTCGTAGCGCCTCTGCGGAGGAGGTGGGACTAAGACTAAGGAGAGAGTTCAGCAAATAACTGTTGATGGACCAAAACCGGCATAGGCCTCCTATTCATCGCAGCTTGTATTAAGTGATATCTAGAGTGATCTTCCGAGTCGCCGGTGTCCTCCCATCCACAGCGTACGACGAACGACGAATGAACACATGGCATTTGCATGATCCCATGTTCTGCGCGGCAAGGTACTCGTCTTTGTCGCACAAAACCTCAAGCGCGGGGGGCCTTATGGGCTTTGTCTCTCGTTTTTGTTCTACTATGTGGCATTTGATGATTCATATTTTTGCTGGTTAGACACACAATCTGAAAGAAAAGAGGTCCGCAAACGCTGTCAAACGAGTACAGCTCAAGCTCTTCTGGGACCGTGTGGGCGCTTGGAAAATTCATGAACAATCCCCTAAAATACCCTTGCCGACAGCAAACATAGATGAGGTTCGAGAGATTTCGAGAGTGGGTCGACAGATCCCCTCAATTTGCTTTGACCCCCAAAGCTTCACCAAGGCTTTGACGCTATTCACTGCACCGCATCTCTCCATGCCCTTGCGAAGCACTCGTTGAAAGACGACCGGCTGGCCAGTCGAACCCTCGGTGCTCTGCTGGCCAAGCAAGGTGAGTATGCCAGGCAAAAGTCTCTGGATGGTCGTCAACTCTCGATCCTTGGCGTGGAAACTGGTATTTGGTATCCCAAAACGGACGATTTATGATCAAACAACCCCAAAAACGAATGGATGATTTGCGGGGTCGCCCCATTGATGGACACCTTCATTTGGTATTTACAATTTTCTGAGAAGGCGACGACCCATCCGGACGTCCGCTGGCGAACTGACGATGTCACGCTGGCTTCCCAGGAATACTCTTTGGGCCATTGCACGTTTGCGACAACCAGCAATCGAGGCTATGCCTGAGGGTCTTGCAACTCAGGCTGGAATTCTCGCCAAAGCTTTGCTTTTATCATATGTTTGTTCTTTGTTTAAAATACTTTGGAAACAGTGCAAATGCAGCAATGCAACGTAATACATCCATCACAGTCCAAGAACATGTGCGAAGGTGGCCGCTCAGCTTTCCTCGCAGGTGCCATGGAATCCATCACTCTTTACAGTTTTGCCCAGTTCAGTCTCTTCACAGGAGCAGCGGCTGAATCATCAAGACGTGAGCAATGGACTCTGGGCCATAGCTGCTTTGGACCTACCAGAACAGGTGAGGAGTTGGGGACTTTCCTGAACAATAGGACTCTTTGTACTATTCTTTGACAGTAGTGTGTGAACTATGGTGAACTAATTAGTCTTCTTTGGTTTTACCAGTCATCCCAGTAGGGTGGTGTGAGAAAAGACACACGCGCACACACACACACAAACGCCCATCAAAAGCATTTGCCTCGTCTTGATTCTGACCTCCCATGCAGGCAGATCACATGTCTGAACTGGCTTATTCTCGAGCTTTGTCCAGACCAAATGGCTTTAAAGCCCAAGAATTGGCCAATGCCATTTGGGCCTTTGCTACCTGTGGATCGGGCCGGGCACCAAGGCACAGCTGTCAGCCTACTCAGCTTAATTCAGTTGTGGCCGCCTCAAGGCACAGCAAGCCGAATGGCCCGGAACCTGACGGTCTATTGTGTGCTGGAACGCTTGGCGCAGCAGACTCAGCGGAAATCGGCGCGGCCTTTTAGCTGGTCTCTTGTAAAGTGGCTGTCACAAGATACATAGGAAGTGCTGAAAATCGACATGGAAAGTCCCAAGCTGGCTGTTGGTCCTCAGGTGCAGAAAATGTGCAACCACATACTAGAGCATGATATAGTTATATACATTCCTCCCTCTTTTCTTTGGACCCTGTGACACGAGGTCATTCTCGTTTTGTGAACAGTCTTGTGTGGAGGCATTGCCTCAGTCTTTAACTAGCGATCGTTGATCTCAATCGAACATGGGCAGTTGACATGAAGGAACTGCCCAGACCAAAGTACCATCGGTAGAAAGTCGGTACAGAATGGTACTTTCTCGTGACCCAAATGGTCGGTGTGCAGCGAGTAGCAGCTTGGCTTAGCTGCCCCTGACAAACCCACTGGTGGACTTCTACTAAGGACATGTAGATACATTTGGTAGAGTAACTCACCGCTTTTCAGACTTTTCAGGTGTCACAGTCCAATCTCCCAACCCCTCCTCGTCTTGGTTCAGTGTGTCACCAAGATGCAGAGAGTCTGTGCCAGGGAGTTGCAGAGCATCCAGCTTGCAGCGGTGATTTGGTCGGTGGCTGCAGCGGACCTGGATGGGCAAAGTCTGAGGCCGAACCGGCCCCGGTTTGCCGGTTGTCGCGTGGAACTTCAAGGGTCGCACCTGGGGACAGGGGAAGGTCCACGGTTGAAATGGCCAACTCTCGTTGCCGGTGGATCGAAACCAGCAACAAACCGTTGGCTGCAGCGGTCTTATCGGAGAGTGACTCGGTGTACCGTCCCACTCCTTGACGGCTGCGCCTTCGGCAGGTCTTCACCACGCCTCATGGAGCCCCTGGCTACAGCCGTCTTGGACCGTGTTCAAGAGTTTGGCCCCCAGGAGGCATGGACCATGCATTGGGATGCTTGGAACAGTGTTGACCAAAAAAGCATCATCTTGGGATTGGTGATCCAACAATCATAATTTATGGTTGTACACACATAATTCACACAGTTGATCATAGTGGTTTTGTGCTATATTTGCATTGCGTTTAGCCATGCTGCTCTCCCAGACCAGCGGAGCAGGTGTCAAATGTCTCTTGGGCTTTGGCAGTTGAGACGATTCAGAATCGACGACTGAGAGAAGAGCTCGCAATGGGTGTGAATCGCTGCATGCATGAGTTCAAGCGCAAGGACGGCGAGCTGAATTCTGTGACTCAAAAATTGCATTCATGCCTTTGCATTTGTTGGGAGGAATTGGTGAACAGCCTTTGGGCCTTTGCTGTCTTTGGCAGCATGGAAGCGGTTGATTAGCAGGTCCATTCTGCCTCTGCCAGCAAGCACATCAAGTAGCTATTTGAAGCCAATTGCAGATGAACAGGATGACATTGATGCTGAGAATGAAGCCTTTCATGGCGAGGAAGCGAACGCATGACGTTTTTGATCTCGCTCATGACGTGGTCCCAGTTTCTCTCGAGAGAGTAGGCGGTGACACGAGACGACCTGGCGCCTTTTGCTCCTGGTTTTAAGACCAAACCAGTGGAAGTGCCCGTAGGACTAGGCGTCACTCTTGTTTAGAGGAAAGGAGCAGACCTGGATCTTGCCCAAAAAAGCGCGTGAAACGGATCAAAAACAGGAACAAGTGATGTTGCTTCTTGTTCTTGTTCTTCGTGCCACGAGTAGATCGTTTACGAGTCGATCACTTCAAGGACGACGAGAACAAGAAGAAGCAGTGGGATGTTTCGGACAAGCTGGTCGATGAGGAAGTGTTGTGTTTTCGTTTGTGGTGGAAACGGCATGAACCGGTGGTAGAGTCTGGTAGAGTGGCGAAGTTGTTCCATCACTTGTCAATGACTGACATGAACTTCCTACAACTCTCGCTTGCTTTCATTGCAGGAGGAGTGCCAGCTCCTTACTCTGAGCGGTGATGGAGACAATGGTACATTCTGAATTCTGGCAGACCAGTCCCTTGTAGATTGATCGAAGAACATCACCTCATTTCGCATTATTCTTTCAGTGTTTTGCCGAGGGAGGGAGTGGTCACAAGCCAGGGGTTGTGCAGAAGGCAGAAGGCAGCTTTGCTCCTGCCAACGATTCACCTGATCTACTGTAGCTCGGACATGATTCCACCGTCGCAGCTTGCGTTCCAATTCCCTCCAGCTCCATCAAGCCGGCAGTGACATGCGCATGTCAAAAGTTGTCAAAAGTCGCTCTTTCTTGAACTACATCGACGCGGAGCTCTTATGTTGCAAGGTGTAAGGTGTTTGCAATTTTTGTGATGCTTTCTTGGAGTTCTTCAAACACCCATCAAGATCAAGGCTCCATGACAAACATGTATTTACAACATTAACTGTAACTGATGCCACGCGATGCTGCTCTTGGTTGCCACACTGTAAAAGGAGTTGTGCAAGGCATGCTGCTGCAAGGAAGTAGACAGTGTGACGATTAAGCAACCTCTTTGTGTTTGTGCGAGTACGAAGAAACATATAGTTCTTTTTGATCAGGAGGCGACCCACCAACACGTTTCAGGCATTTCATTGCATTTCCAATCTTAATCGCTGCTGGCTGCTGGAATGGCCTGAAAGCATGCCGCCGAAAGTAGCAGCTGGAAGGTACAATTCTCGGATGAGCACTACACAGACGCATCAAAGCTTGTACACAGAAGTTGAATGATGTTGACCAGAATGAGGCCTTGCGAAGAGTGCGATGGAAGTGGAGAAGTGGTCCGAAGCTGAGTGGCGAATAGACCACCTGGAAGTCACGATCCATTGTTTTAGTTGCTTCACGTTGCTTCCATGTTGCTCTTCTGTCATGTGTTTGAATCATTTAGAATCATTTGAATCCACCCCCTTTCCTGCGGCAATTCGTTTACACACCCAAACGCCGTCGTAGACAAGACACCAAAACCATCCAAAAAACCGTCGGGAAAAAGCCTTGGCTTTCGTTCGTCTTCGACCGGACGCGGGACGCGTGTCGATAGGTCCAGACTCGTCGAAGAGAGTGCCACAACTGCGATGGCACCGGTGCTTGCGCAGCAGGTCGGGGCAACAAGGCGGGCGAAACACAGCTGAGATCCTAGACCACATCCACCACGCATCTCCGGATTCCAACCTTTGTGAGCGTTCGTCCTCTTCTGCACCAACCACTCATTCTTGTGCCCAGTTCGTTTGTCCTCTTTGCAATGGTGAAGGCCATGAGGCAGGGCCCAGTTGGAAAGGTGTACTTACCTGACTCTTTGCAAGCTCTTCACAACTTCGATCTAGCCGCAGTTCTTCAGTGTCATATCGCAGTGGATCAGTGCTCGCAGATCACTCACCGGTAATGCGTGAGGTCATGCGTGATCGTGTCAAATGCCCTGAGTGCAAAGGGGCTGGACGCAGAATCTCCAAGGCCTAGAAACTGACGGCCCGGTTGCGGGGTTTTCACGGCCAAGATGTTCGGTGAGATGGCAACAGCATTAGCCGGGAATTACTGCATTCGCCGGGGTCTTCGCCTCTTTTTGGATGAGCCACGGGGCGTCAATCCACCTGTTTGCCAGGCTCTAAACATGTGTAAACAATGCTCATCCATCCTTCTACACAGCGTGGTGGTCGGATGTAGAAGCTTCTGGAAGAAGTCAATGAATTGCTGGCAATACTACTGACGCATTTAATTCAGCATATTTAGCACATTATGGGAAGCTATGGTCCATGACCCACCCTAAGCCACTGTTCCAAGGTTCACCCTCTCCATTGATCCTTCGGTTGTGTCTTGTTCAGTGTTGGGACCGCAAGGTTGTCTATCGGCAAAGTAAAGCCTTGCATTCCAGATTCTGTTTGATTTCAATACCTTGGTCATCCCTGGTCAATTCCTTGTTCAATTCAAGAGCTGCAAGCGAGACCTGGTCGGCTGAACTCCATTTCATCCACAGGGCCGCGAGGAAGCTCCACAAGTGCTGGGCAGAAGTCAGGAAGAAGCTGAAAAGAAGGCAAGACTTGTAGGGTGGGCCATCGCATGCCATCGCTACTAGGTTGGAGGCTATTAGGTTTGGGCCTCAAGCAGTCAATGCTCAATTCAGATGAATTTGTCGCTATTTTTTCGGGTTTTCTCCTAACTTTGGGCACCAGCCTCCTCACCGCGCCTGCAGCGTCGTTGATCTTTTGCGCTTGATGAGTGCGCCACAGCCTTTGCTGCAACTTGGTGAGGCAGCTGTTGCGCCTCCGGCTCATACAGTAAGGACTTCTGTGTGAGCCCGAGGCAGTAGTCTGACATCAACACCAGGCCCTTCAACCTTAGGGATCCTTACGGATCCTTGTGGATGCGATGAATGTTAGCCTCGACTGCGTTTCGTCGCAGCGTGGGTTTTTCAGATCTCTCGAAGTTGGCCTCAAGGTGGGAAGTGGCCGCGGAGTGAGCGATGAACCTCAATCAGAGGACCAATGGAGCAGACGGGTCTGGTGATTGGCAGGTCGGAAAGATATTTGTGACAACAAGCATAAGAATCGAAGCTTCTCAAATGCTCAGAGATGAAGCCAGAGTAATGTCTTAACCTGGGAAAAGGTCCCTTGTAGGTGTATAGCTGTTTAGGTTTCAGGTTCACACTTGGTTTTCACCATGCCATCAGGAAGAAGGCGATGAAGAGGACGGAATCTGAACGGGCGCAAGTGGGGTGAAGATGCACGTGCGTTACGCTATGGTGGACAAACACTCAATGTGCAGCGAAAAGTTGATCGTTCACGCCCCTTGATGGGTTTTGTAGATTCTGGCCTATGAGGTGATTGGCAGACATTCCACAAAAGATTCAGAGGGAAGTTTCGGAGAGACAACCTTTTTTGTTCTTTGCAATATATCTATATCTATCTATCTATATACATATATATATATATATATGTATACACATAAATGAGCTATCCGATCACAGGCCGGTGCAGAAAAGGCTCATGCATGTAGCGAAGGAAGCCCTGCAACATGAGCAACTGCTGCGACACGGTGTCGCAACTGCCCAGTGACTTGAGGGCGATTAGGATATCTTGGGCCGTGCCAAATGGACATGTGAACACCTGGAATGCCTAGGAACTGGAATCCAACACCTCTGACCACGAATGGTCCGGACATGATTCCGACGTTCCCACAATGGAATCGAGACGTGGAACGCATGGGACAATAGAAGAATCTGGATTCCTGCCCGGGCTTTGTGTTGATTGTGAGAAGCTGACAGTGGAGGAGCAGTGGGACGAACAGATGGATCAACAAACTAATTTAAGATAGCAAGACAGTCATTTTTGAACTGAGCAAAGTCTGGATGTTGTCCCGGTCTAAATTCTGAAGGACCCAAAGCCCAAAAAGCCGCAGAGTCAAAAGAAAGGCGAAGATACTGATGCTGTTTCAAGAATTCACCGTTTGATTCGAGAATTCCCATAACGCTCACTGTTTGTTGCAAGCGACGAGCGCAAGCGAGCGCTCAAGCGAGCGCAAGAGCAGCCCAAGCGGTTTTGTGTCAGTTCCGAAAGAAAAAGCTACACCAAAGAAAGACTATGAGGCGGAAAAGATCTCATCGTTTCATTTGAAGATGCTGTGGCGTAGAATTACCAATGTTTCTTTGATACAACTCTTTGGCAGGGAGCTGAAGTCCAAGAAGGCATTTGGTGGGAGGCGGCTATTCTTGTTGCAAGGATACACGCGTTTCGACGTCTCATTTTTCGTTTCATTGGTTCGAAAGAGATCGCCTGCTGTTTCCTTTGAGAACAAAATCACTGGCAGCCTGGTGTGGGCTTGGTGATCCGCACGACTTTGGGCCCTACTTCGTTGATGAATGGCAGCTCGGTGGCACAAACTTTGGGAGCAGAGTATCTTGGGAGAACGATTTGACAACAAAAACCTGCTTGATGATACAAGCCATATAGAAAACCTGACCAAAACAATTGGAAAGAAGAACCATGAAAGCAGCAGCCCATGAAATGTTTGATAAGTAAGATTCGTCGCAAGCCCACCTGCCAGTGCTATCACACCGCGTTTTGTTCCTTAGTTGGACTGCATTTGCATGCAGGTATAGGGATCTTGATCGTCGCAACCTTATTTTGCAAGATATTTTTTTCCAGATATATATCCTGGAACTGCAGTTTTTGGTTTTTGTAGCTCGACATGGCGTGTTGATGTGTGAGTGGAGAACCCCCTTGTTCTTAAGCGGCTGAAAGCGAAAAAGGACCACCCCTCCGCTCAGGCATTGATTGGTCTCATCCTCCTCTTGGCTGATAGCCCTGTTGCCTATGTGGTTGGCAGCTCAGTTTCTGACCCAAACGCTGAACCTCACCGCTCCAGTGGCGACAGCACTTGTT